TTACCAGTGTTTCGGAGAATAGCCATTAAACTTTGCTTAAGTTTTGCTAATATCCATTTCCACTACCATGATATGAAAAGAAGCTATACCAGACATCTCGATCAAATGGAAACTTGTCCATATGCTTTCCTCGAAAAATCAGATTGAGGAACCAAATTTTGCCAACATGGGATCATCAAAGAGAGAAGTATAGAGCTGTGAGCATAAGAAGTGGCATTATTGCAGTCAATTTAAATTACGGTTCTCTTGTATAAAGGCATGAAATACATTCATTAAGGTCTTTTTCACAACTAAAGATGCACCTTCACGGAATTTGAGAGAGAAGAAATAAATGAGTTTTAACATAAATTAAGCCACTGCCGTCTGCTTGGTCCAAAAAGCTTTTGCTATCAGAAACTCCATATCTTGTTGATTGGTAAAACATATAGCTACTAAGACACTCCATAGTTCCAAAACCAAGATAAATTATCATACTATTTCTCACCGGTCATTTTCCTAGACAGTCTTCTCACCAGAACTAAGATCAATTCATTTTCTGAGATGCCCTGAATTTTTGAGATAATTAATTTGATAAGTTATTTGCTTAGCCTAAAGTACAAAAGAAACTTAAGACCACCTTATAAAGAAAGTTACATAGTGGCTGATGACAATCCAAATTACTTTTTCAATTCTTCAGTTATACTGTAAGACCTCAAATTAATTATTAAAAATAAAAGATAAACCAATACATTGGCAGAGAACTAATGTCAGAGCAACTTATTTCAAGCATTAGTATCACCTGTTTAACTCGACGTCAGATAAAAGATTTCACTCAAAATAGCATATATCAAATAAGAAAAAAAAATTAAAATACTAGATTAGTATTCTGGTGCTTCTCACCTGTTCCAAATTAATATTGTTTAATCTCTGCATACCCTTCTGCCCATAAACCTCTCATTACTTCTGGATAAGCGAGAAAATAAAGAAGAGTACAGAAGTTAGTAGGGCAAAATTTCAGTATGTCATAAAAAAAAAAAGAATAAATTTACATACTAAATTACAAAATGTGCTATCAAAATCTTGTAGAGCAATGAAATCAATGATAGTAGAGAGTAAGCAACTTCGATTCATTTTGGCAAATAAAAAAAGCAAAGCAACAAAAAAGATTGAAAATAGCAGCTTTTGCAGACGTGGATGATCCAATATATATAATTGGACGAAGGAAGATTTCATTACCAATTCTCTTTAGAATGATAGAGCTTTAAATCAGAGTAATCTTTCGAAAATCCAAATAACCCATCCTTCTGCTTGGTGAATAGACGGAAAGGAGATATCAAATTGCCTACAACATATGGTAATCGATCTTGTAGAGACATCTACGTCATAATATCAAACCTTGAAACATGTATCACCAATAAACTAAATCAAAGAAGAGTGAAATCATTTTGAATCTTAGTTTGCTGATCAGTCAAGCTTCTTGATATTTCAACTATCATTACGACAACATGCACAGATAAAACAGAAAATAAACAATATAGAAATGAATCCCGAAATGGGATATCAAGAGATTGATAAACAAAGGTTGATAAAAGTTTACTTGAAAAGAAAAGAGCGTTGGAGGAGAGGAAGTGGGTAGATCTTCCTAATGGTGGCAAGCCGCCTGTCTGATTTTATTTCTTGACCAATTTGATTCATTTGTTACCTGATTCATGTATGTGCTCGACAAATTGAGCCTACTAATGTCTCCGAGGCCTTGAAAACTTCATTTAGAGTCGTCTCGATTTGTGTGCGCAGTTCGGGCGCGTAGCCGAAAAGCTTAAACGTGAAATCTTGTGAAAATTTCTAAGTTTTTACCTCGAAATGAATAAGTTTGACTCCGTTCAATATTTTGAGTAAACGGACCCGGACCCGTGATTTGACGATCTCGGAGGGTCCGCAGGAAAATATGGGACGTGGACGTATGCCCGAAATCGAATTCTGAGGTCCCATGCCCGAGTTATGAATTTTTATGTGAAATTGTTTTCTCAAAATGTTTAAAGAAAAGTGAAATGAAAACTGATGTGAAAATAATGGTATCGGTCCCGTATTTTGGTTCAGGTGCCCGGTACAGGTCTTATATATATTTTGAATCACTCCTATAAAGTTTGGTAAAAAAAAAACGGACGTCGTTTGACGTGATCCAGACCCTAATTGGAAAATTGATGTTTAAAAGGAAATCTGAGGAATTTCATGGATCTTGAGGTTCAATTCGATGTTCATGATGTTATATTGGTGATGTGATCACACGAATATGTTTGTAGGATGTTTTGAGGTAGTGTGCATGCTTGGTTTAGAGTTTCGAGGGCTCGGTGAGTTTCTAGTAGGT